AGCTTTAGTATGACATTTTAAAAAGTTCTTTTTTTCGTTTCCTTTGCGTTTCAACTCGCAGAAGCAGAGCTGTAGAGAATATAAACAAAGCCTTGAGTAATATTTCAACAGAAACGGCTTTGCCAACACAAGGCTTTGAATGTTCTGGTGTCAACGCTTAAGTGCTGTCTGAGATGGGGAGTTTGCGAACGTTCAGTCAATCTGAGTCTCCAGTCTCCAGTTTGACTGAATCACTTTCTTTCCCAGTATTATCTTTCTCGCCAAATGGTTATGCGTATGTCTCGCCCGTCTTGAGGGCCACTAGCTCTGAGTCTTCTGTTTGTTTACCATTCAAGTGTTCACTGTTGCAGTCATGATGGTACATGAAGGCGGGCACCTCAGTGATGGAGGTGGCGGTGTAGGAGGTGGATCTCATGGAGCAGTGCTCGCGTCGTCGCTGACCCCACTGGGCCTTGTATTGCATCCACTGCCTTTTCAGAGCTCCCTGGACCTGCAACATGTAAAAATCTGTTAAAATATAACTTTTTTGCTTATTTCAAAACTTCACTATGGCTTCATCTATGCCATAATACATCACATAGAGACTGAGGTCATATAATGATTGAGGTCAGTAGAATATTTTGAAAAGTCTCCTATGCTCACCAAGGCTGCATTTATTTGATCGAACATACAGTAAAATAGGAATATTGTTAAACATTACTACTATTTAAAATAATTATTTTCTATTTTAATATATTGTCATTTTTTCCTGTGATGGCAAAGATTCATTTTCAGCAGTTGTTACTCCAGTGTTCAGTGTCACATGATCCTTCGGAAATCATTCTAATATGTTGATTTGAATCTCAAGAGCCATTTATTATTATTATAAAAGCAATACTTGTAATAATGTTATAATATAAAAACCATAATAAATTTTTACAGGATTCTTTGATGAATAGAAAGTTCAAAAGAACAGCATTTATTTGAAAAAGAAATCTTTTGTTTTCTTCCTTTCTGAAGTATTCATTTAAAAACATTTACCGACCCCAAATTTTTATGATTTTGGCTGTCCTTGTGCATCCGCCAGTGAAATTTGTAATGTGTAATGAAATTGGACACAGCTATAATCATTTTCCCTTGTGCTCAGAGTCTTTGTAGTTTTATTATAACCATCCTTGAAGTTGAACTAGATTGAAACAGTCTATGATCGTTTGCTATATTCAATATACATCTATTTTATATATTTAAATCATTATAAAATCAGCTGTTATTGATTTGAACGTTAAACTATTTCAGGTAGCAGGTTTTAGTTTAACATCTGTTTTTATCTGGTACATCTGGTGTCAAGACGTTGTGATTTGACAAACTGCACTGCACTGTTTGTGCATCGGAGTTACTTTAAAGAGAAAAATTACTTGCACTTATGTATTTTGATTAATTGAGTAGCATTTAAGTTTAAATGATGTTTTTGTTTTAACCTCTGTGTATTTAGTGGATTTGGAGAATGTGGGAATTATATTACTCTATTACTATCATAACCGAATTTGATGTGCCAATTACCGCTCTGTGTATTTTTAACACATAACAAAGAAGGATATTGGATCAGGCACAAATCTAGAGGAGACAGGGGCACAGGGGAAGGACATTAGGCTAGAACGAATCATTCCGCTGAGGTAAACAAGCACCACCACAAAGAAAATATTTTTCTGTGTCAGTGGCCCTTTTATTGTCCTGAAACTGGATCTGGGCTTAGGACGCATCCAAATAGTTTGTAGACGCGCTGATGCTGATGCGAGCTGGCTGCTCATGCATAGGCTAATAATTGAACCATTTTCCAGGCCCAGAAATAATTCAGCATGTTTAAAACATGACTTACACATAGGCGGATGAAAGGCGCTAATTCATTCCATTCAGGTTCGTGCCAGGAACCTCATGCTGAGTATTCTAATGAAACTGTCTCTTCATTGTTTTGGTTTTGTCATGCATAAGTGCTCTGAACGCCTGACTGACTTCCTGAACACCAGCCACTAGCACTTTGGTGTTTTGACAAAACGTCAAGCTATCCCAAAGGTCGCGTCCTTCACACAGGAGGTGATTCGCTTAAATTTAGCCCCTTTTATAAGGATGACATTTCTTTTATAAGGCATTATTTTGACATTCTTTAATGTGATGTGGCAAGTAATTGTCATTATTTAGTCAGCCTCACGTCACATAAAACCTGAATGCTGTATTCCAAGTCATCTGAAGGCATTTGATAGTTTTTATCAGAAAAGGGTTGAAAATTCTATAGTTTTTCACTGATAGTCTGAGGTACCTCTTGAAAGTCATTCTCCATTCCATATATTCAAACTGACGATTCATGTTTAGTCGAAATACATGTGAAAACCAATTCCATTTGACATCACACCTTTGACAAGACACATCTTGCCACACAATTTTTTTTTGTTTAAATGTGAATTATCTGTCACAAACAAGTCTTATGAACTACAGTACTTTTATGGGGGTTTTGTGATTTTGCATGGAAAATATTAATACTATTCTTCAAAAACTTTAAACTGAATGGCGTAAGGGTAGGTAGATTGTGGAAGTGTGTTTCTGCCACAGGATTAAAAAAAAGTAATTGCGACTTTTTATCTCACAATCTGGACTTTTTTCTTACAAGTCTGAGTTTAAATCTCACAATTCTTTTTTCTCAGAATTGTGAGATTTAAAGGCAGAATTGCAAGATATAAACACAATTTTGAGAAAATTCTGATATAAAGTAAGTTGTTTTATTTTTTATTCGGTGGTTCATATTTTGCAATTTAGAATAAAAAAAAGATATCAGAATTGTGAGATAAAAATTTGCAATTACCCTTTTTTCATTTTTTTTTCTTGACAGAAACAAGGTTCCATAGTAAACAATGCCACAATTTGAGTGAAATATGCATTTATGTGTTATAAGGATATTGCTCAATTTACTTACCTCTCCATTGAAAAAGCAGAATATGGTTGCCACCAGCAATCCCTTGCAAAACAGAAAATATGGAAGCATTAACAATCATTTTAAGATGTCTTCCACAAGTAAAAAGAGTTAACATTCAGTCTGAGTTACCTGGTAATGCATTAATATGTGCATGATGTAATCGTATATCTCTCCTGCCAAGCGGTTCTCTGGCCGCCAAGGGAAGATGACGAACTGAATGCCCAATAAGGGCACCAGAATGAGGGTGGCCCTCACTGCCTTCATATACATGTTGGACTCAGCTCGATGCGTATCTCTCAGTTTGGTCACCAAAACCCGTACTATGTTCAGCAAAAAGAATAAATTGACCTACAACATAAAAAAAATATAAAAATGAACTCCTATGTTCTCCGAACAGTCCTTAACTAACATGCTCTATTTAGATTTTATAAATACATTCAATAAATGCAAAAGGCGCTGACTCACTAATAAAGCTGCCATGATGGGGCCGTGAACCACATAGAGCAGATGTGTCTCCACACTCATCCAGCAGCTAGTGGAAAATATAATAAATCCCATATCAGACCCACTGTCCACTAAACCTGGCCTGTCTTCTGTATTTACTGCTGAAAAGCAGTGAACATTACTCACTTGTCATCAAAGTATTTCTTCCTCGCCACAGCATGGATGGATGCAGGCACCAAGGGGAATCCTGTTGAAAGGAGAATTGAGACATTAGTCAAACACGAAATATTATACCTCTAATGTAAAATGAATGATAATGCTGTAACTGTTATTAGACGGCGAGCCATGACTACGCGAAATGCCTCACTTGATTTATTGAAGTATTTAAAATCAGCGCGGTACAAACTCAGCATCTATAGGCTAAATAAACTAAATTGTCTTTGATGCATGAGGAATCAGGCACTGGAGGGGACGATTATCAGTGAATAATGACTTACATTATTGAATATCTTCAGATGACTTGGAAAATGATGCATAGATGATATTCACTATGTTTCCATCCACCTATTTTTATACGCATTTTGGAATATCGCATAAAAAATGCTGGATGGAAATGCCAAGATGCGCATACATTTTAAAAATGCACGTAAAAAACGTATGCACACAATTGAGCAGGATAAACTTTTATCTAATAAGAAAAAATGTGCATAAACACATTTACCGAATAAATTCCACCTTGTGCATCAAAAAAGTCACGTGACTTTGCACGATGGGACAGAATAACTTGACTAATCAGCGGACCAATCTCATTGCACAGCATCTGAAATGTTGTTTTGGTCGTTCTGAAATGCCTGAGCAAAGTCTGTTATCAAAGTAAGTCTGTATAATTGTCTTACACGACTGCATTCCTAAACAGCAAAGCATCCGCCTCCGAAAGCAATGACTGCATTTATTGTGTTTCGTCTGCTCGCTTTGAGGCTCAAGTAATATATATGAAAATTATTATATTCAGTGTCTTCTCCTACTTTTCTTAGTGATATTTAGTGCCAGCTTATCAGGAAGTGACGATTTTGTTCTCTTTGACTCCTTGGATGGAAACGGTGGTTTATTCGCAAATGTTTTATGCAATATTCCAGTTTTGTGCATAAGTTAAATTCGCATCTTTGGATGGAAACATAGCTATAAACTACTTTTATAATACATCTAGGGTTCAAGTGTAGCTTGGACATTCTTCAAACATTTTTTATTTTTTTTTTCATGGGCAAATGTAAGTCATAACAAGAGAGTGAGTAAATAATAATGACATTTTACATTTTTAGGTGAAATATTCCTTAGGAATATTGGGAATTTTTAATAACCTCTGAACAGTGTGAAAAGCCTCAAGGCATTTTAGCAGATCTTCTAGCAAACAGTCAAGGGATTCTCTCCCTTTGGGGATGGATGACAGATTCGGCACGAGGTTATCAGTCAATCTTTAATAATGCTCCACAATTCAGGTACTTTCTCGTCCATTTATCAGGCTAGTTCCTAACCCATGTCATTGCTAACTTACAGAACAGGTGAAACAAGACAGTTAGGGCCTGATCTTCCATAAACCGTCATCATAAAACTGCCAGTGGGAACCGTAAAGTGCACCAGAATGTGAAACAAACCATGAACCGCAAACATCCACAAATGTCCAGCACATTGTGTCCTTAGTGTGGACTAGCTGATTTGTCTGTCTTTAAACAAGTGTTTGTGCCGGCGACAGTGTTTTCTGTTTATGGAGCAGGAGGACATGACCACGAGCAAATGTATCCAATAAATTATGGAGCAAAGACTGATGAAACAGCTGCCTATGAAAACAGGTCACGCTATATTCCGTGCTGAGCAAATAGGGAGGGTGTTCATATTTACAATTTAGGGTTTGCTGACAGATGGGAAAGCAAAACTAGGAACTGTGGGGCAGCAGAGCTGGCAGAGACTCACCCCAGCCCAGAAGATAATACCAGTGCAGATGCTGCTCCTCGGCAAATACGGCCACCACAATCAGCGTGTGCAGGTAAATCCCCTCACAGAGCATCCAGAAATAGTTACATCCCAGCATGTACATGTGGAAGAAGTGAAGCACCTTGCAGCCAATCTGCAAAGGGGGGAAATGAAGTAGACAGGTGCTTTAAGTTTCACTGCAACAAGCAATTTAGGCAAAAATGAAATCTGACAGGACAGCCCTGCTGAAAAGACCAGCTTACAGCAGCGTAAATTACCATGGTCCAAGCTGGTTTGGTTCTGGTCTAGCTAGTTAAGATAGTAATAAATGAATGCTTTGCCAATTATCTACTGCAGTTGTTTTCAGCTGGTTGATAAAAATGATGGTCATAATTTATTTTAAAGTCCAATTCTCGCTATTAACAAACCATTAACTATGACTTTTGCCTCGGTAAACTTCTAATTTGCTGCTTATTAATAGTTAGTAAGGTAGTTGTTAAGTTTTGGTATGGGGTAGGATTAGGGATGTAGAATATGGTCATGCAGAAAATGTGCTTTGTAAGTACTAATAAACAGTCAATATGTTAATAATATGCATGCTAATAATACTGTAAGCAACTAGTTAATAGTGAGAATTGGTCTAAATTATTATTAATATCAATTTAATGAACTGTACAGGCAGCATTATTAACATCGTAAATCAAGCTCTTTAAAGGGTTAGTTCTGCCAAAAATGAACATTAGGCTGCGTTTTACTCACCCCCGATGCATCCTAGGTGTATATGACTTTCTTCTTTCAGACGAATCCAGTCGGAGTTATATAAAAAATTGTCTTTGATCTTTCAAGCTCTATCGTTGTACTCAGCGGGTGTTGCATTCCTTCAGTTCAAAAAAAGCACCTTTCCACAAAAAAAAGTGTCTCACACGGCTCCGGTGGGGTGATGCGTTTTTGTAAGAAAAATATCCATATTCAAAACTTAATAATGGTGAACTAACCCTTTAAGTTTTTAATATTTTCATTTAAAAAAATTTACATTTATAACATTATAATTTGTGTGTTCTTACGTTGGCATTAAATTACATAAAGGGAATATTTAATATTTTCATTTAAAAAAATGTACATTTATAACATTATAATTTGTGTGTTCTTACGTTGGCATTAAATTACATAAAGGGAATAATGGCAAGTTTGACATCTTTATCTCTATGACCAACATAATCAATCTCAATTTTTTTGCTGTTGGGGCAACTGAGAACGCAAAAATGATATTTGTTGTAGTTTCTGTTCACCACTATAGAAGTTGACCCAAATATGACAACGTCCAAATGTGAAAAGGGTCCATTTGTGAAATTATTAACAAGACACAGGCTGATTAGGACAAGCGACAATTTTATAAATGCATAAACAATAGCAGAAGTGTGATTTAACAGCCTAACACATTGAACAAACACTGATCCAAATGTTGTTTTAGTTTCAGCCAAATTACTAAGTGACAGATGGATTCACATCAAAATACCATAACGTTTTTTTTGGACGGCTCAGCTTTGAGATCATCAAGAAAAATATGGGAAGCATTTTCTCCTTCCTAAAGTACATTTATTTTGCTATCCTAATCATGCGAGATTATATATATTGTTGCAGTTTATTATTTGCATTTGGCAATGTTTCTTTTTTGTTTTTTTTGTCTAAATGTTTAGACTAAATGTTCACAACAAAAAAATTTTAAACAGGTTCCAGAAACGTAAGTTCACATTGTGAGTTAATTAACTTGCAATTAACTTCACAAATACCTGCAGAATATTCATTTTGTCCATTTTTATCTCTTTAACATGGCCCGGACATTACCTTACTCTGAATGTTTGAGATGCCTGGCTCCTTTTTAAGAACATGTGTGCAGTTTTAATTAGAAAATGCTGGCAAAAGTGTCTATTCTCAATCCGCTGAGCTCTGGATCACACACCTCCCAACAACACGTCAGTCATCCAGATGAACTTTTTACCATATGTCCATAGCTCTCATCTGCCTGCTGCACCCACGCAACTGGCAGCAAGTCCTCACACATGTTATTCTCCACACACAGCTTTCCTTTAGAAGTCAAGGCTTCTTTACTTCAATTCAAATGTCCTTGATATGCAAAGGCGTTCTTGTCAGACTATGTCAGAAACAGAGGGTTTAAGTCGAAACTAAAGTGGGTAACTCTGTCTGTAAACTCTTCTCCTTGAGACTGGGGATGCATTCTGTATTGAGGAAAAACAGAAGGAGCTTGTTCTCCAGGCTGAACAAGGATACCGTAAATTAAACTGCAGAATGCACCCACCCCCGTAAGAATGCACATTTCAAGACATCTGCATTACACTGGCCACATAAAACAGATATCATTTTGAGAACGCATAGTAAGGATGGTACTTTGACAGGCACAGCAGCGTTTTTTTTTTTTTTAAATGAAGGAGTCCGGTGAATGTGATAATGCGTCTCTCAGACACAACCCAATATTCTCAGGCAAGTAAGAACAGTGATTATCATCTTTCTGCAACTCCAGAACTACACCTCCAATACACTCTAGTCCTTTAAAAACTTCAGAATCTATTCATCCAATCCTCCACACATGATGACAGGCCATTTCAAACCCCGGACAGCAGGGTGCAAAAACTCATTTTAGACTGTCACTTTTTAGCTCTGTTTTTATATCAGAAAAAAAGAATAGGCAATTCTCCTCAATCACATTAGATACAGTAGCTAAAAGTTCATGTTTTTCTTGAAAAACATCTCCTCACCACACCTCTTAGATCATGCAGTGTAATCCAGTGTGGCAGATTTATGTATTCCTCCATAGAGAGCAAAACCTGAAAAGATCATATTCCAAGCAAAGATCTTATGCAATGAAAATACAATGAGAATTAAACAGTTTTGTGGTGGACTCAAAATGCGCTTCATCTGAAGTACAAAAACTCTTATACTTGTCAGATATAGAATATAGCTCAATGATCTTCATTCAAATTTAAATAGGGTTTTTAATCAAGACACTGTTTAAAATGATATGTAACGTGAACAATTTGACTTAATTATAAGTATTTAAAAGTGTTTAAATGAAATAAAAAACAAGTATTTTTTTCTCATTATTTATCATTCAAAAGTTTGGGGTCAGTCCGATTTTTTTATGCTCAGCATGGCTGCATTTATTTGATCGAAAATACAGTAAAAACAGAAATATTATGAAATCTTATTATAATTAAGAATAACTGTTTTCTATATTAGAATATTTAAAAATTTAATTTATTCCTGTGATGGCAAAGCTGATTTTTCAGCATCATTACTCCAGTCTTCAGTGTCACATGATCCTTCAGAAATCATCCTAATATGCTGATTTGCTGCTTAAGGCACACTTCCTGAACATTTTGAGAAACATTCATGTTGAAAACTGGTGTGTTGCTTAATATTTTTGTGGAAATTACTATATATATTTTCAGGATTCTTTGATGAAATTTCAAAAGAACAGCATTTATGTCAAATAGAAAACTTTGCAACATTATAAATGTCTTAACTGTAACTTTTGATCCAGTTAATGCATCCTTGCTAAATATCAAATCATTAAATTCTTATTTTAAAACAAACAATAAATAAATAAATAAATATTACTGACCCTGCACTTTTACACAGCCTTTATACGGTGAAATATGCACTTTGTACTTTGAAGGTCTAAATGAAATTGTAACAAGGAAAACATATTTGATTTGATCTGATGGAGTACAATTACTCAGGTTGTTCACACTTGTTCTCTAATATGTGGATCAGCCTCTTTTCCCTCACTTTTCATAAACAGCAAGCATTACTGGCAGTAATAATGATGATGTGAGTATTGTGGATGTGAGGGCACGCACCGGATTCCTCTGCACCACTTTGGGGTTGTTGACCACAGTTATGAGGTTGACGAGGGTGAAGGCTGAGTTGAGCACATACGAGCAGAACAGGTTCTTGTGTAGAGTGATTCTCTGACAGCTCAGACTCCTGGGTGAAAGACAAAGAAATATTCATCACTGATCATTCATGACAGAAGCAGTTTTTGAAGAATAATTCAGTTTGGCAGGTCATTTCAGGACGGAAACAAACCATCTTTTGGATATTTTAGATACATAATCAATCATAAATCACTCGGCTTCTGATGGATTCGATTTTTCACAAGCCTCAAGCACTCAACTTTTCAGCATTTTCCAGATTTAATATAGATTTTGTCTGTTCCATCCTTAAATGCCTGTCTGCAAAGCCTGCATTAGATTATGACGGATTCATAAAACTAGGCAAACATGCAGAGCAAACTGTTACAATTAGTCTGACACGATCAGGAAGATCAATAAAATAAACTTCTGCTGCCTGTTTCTGACACTGGTATAATTCTGTCAGATATGCAGAGCGGCAGATGCTACACACAGCCAGAAACAGCACAAGGTTTGACTTGACTTTCTACACTTTTTGTTTCTGGTGTTTAGGAATAATCTATCCAATTTCCTCCATATGACCTCATCGGGAATTGGCAGGCATCACTGATGTGCAAATGTGGGTGGTCATGCTGTATGTTAATATCAGGAATCCAATGGTTTCAAATGAGACTGGTTTTAGCCCAGTTTCAGTAAATGGGTTTTTTGTACCATTTTTTGAGTTCTGAATGGTACAAAATGTTTTCATAGTACAATGAACTCTTTTATATCGAAAGATCAAGGAGAATTTGATTCATCATGATATGACCCATTTAATGAAGTAAACAGAACTAAAATTAAGCGTCACCTGAGGCCTGAGTATCCTGGCTTCATTTCAAATAATGTGATTGTCAGATGCTTGCCTGTTTTTACAATGTATTGCTTAGTGGTTGAAAATAAAAACTCAGTGTGTTTGCAATGTATTATATCAAAGCTGAATTTATGAAGCTCTATAAGATCAAGGTATAGTGATTAAATTAAATTAAATTAATGCATTTAGCAGATGCTTTTATCCAAAGCGACTTACAGTGCATTCAGGCTATACATTTTTTATCAGTATGTGTGTTCCCTGGGAATTGAACCCACAAACTTTGTGCTGCTAAGGTAATGCTCTACCACTGAGCCACAGGAACATTTATATAGGAACATAGTGATCAAACTGGACTTAAAACGTAAATTCTATATATAGCGAGAAAGAGAGGGGGGAGAGAATATAAATTATACAACCGCAACAAAAAATATAAAGCGATGTAAATTCTAAATTATGTAAAAGGCAATGTTGGGAAAAGAGAAATGTGATTTCTAAGTAAATGCTGTTTTGTTGTTGGTCAGGAGTTGTAAAATAAGGCAAATTTGGGAGTTCACACCTGCATCAGCTATCTCTGTCAACAAACACAGCTTCTGTTAGACAACAAGTTGATCTATATTTTGCTGTCAAAAGATAATGATAAAATATCCTTGCACAAATGGCATCACAATCACCCAATTAAGAAAGTCGTGCTACTCACATGATTTCCCTCAATTTGAGTGCAAAGCTGCTCCTGGAGCACTAGAGGGATGGGAGTGAAAGCTGAGCTCATTTTCCAAAGCTATTTCCCATATTCCCAACCAAAAATGTCTGGCATTATTCAGGGGGCATAAATTAAAGCTTAGTGCAGCTGTATGCTGACACGTACCTCTCCTAGCACCACATCTGGACCCAATAAGACAACATTAAGACTTTGACATCTCAGAAGATCAGACTGTAAATATCACCGTCGCACGTAAAAACAAGCGTTGCTATGTTACACTTCCAGAAAAGCAGTTAAACACAATTTGTTTTGCATGTGCATGATGCATTGTAAATGACAATAAAAAAATGTACAATTGCAAACTCATTTCCCATTAATCCTTAAAAAAATTTGATCAGACCCCTTAGGAAAAAACAGATGTTGGTTAAATAGTGATGGCTCTTTTTGTTTTTCCAGACATTATATATTATCTTTAATTTACATTTTCAGGGACATGAAACATTGTATGTATGCTGTAATCAATACTGCACAGCAAATTAAACTGCTAACATCAAAATATAATTAAATTAAACTTTAAAAATTTAATTGTTCTGTGGTTGTGTTTTTCTTAAAAAACAAAAGCAACACAACGTATTTAATGAGCACTAATGTTGAAATGAGGTCTTAATTAAAATATGCTTTTAACACTAAATATTAATCTCTCAACCTTTCAATGATTGCTTAGTGTACTGCAAAAAAATAAACTATGAGATTGTAAGTTTACTCGCTGGATTCAACTGTCATACTATGTGACATAAAACCCAAAGTTTATGTGCCATGATGTCTAATGCATAAGACTCTTTGGCTCCTACATTTAATTACCCATGAAATTAAGTTTACACTAGGGGATACAGACATATGGAAACCAAGTCAGCATGAAATGACACAAAAAACCTAACAAATAATGCTCGTCATTTGGCTCAGGGCTTAGTGCAGCTCTGCCAGACAAATGGACACCAAGGATTTACACTCAATAAAACACAATGATGAGAAACTATCGTTTTTTGCAATGCCAGAGCCAAAGGACCTTTTGCTTTCAGTCTGTACACAGTTCAAACAGTTGGCTCCTATTAAAAGTTCATTTGTTAATGTTAATGACAGAAGCATCTCTAAATCATTTAAACGTCCATAAAAAAATGCACGCTCCATGAAGTGGATTATAAATTCCTACAATGAAATGTTCTGTGATGTTTTTATTTCAAGCAGCAAATCAATAATCTTAATAACTTCAATTCGTGACTGGCAAAAATAAAAGTATACTTATGTGAGCAACATATTTAAGTCTCTCCATATTTTTAATTCAATTTTAAAAAAATGAACGGGAAAGAGCATTTTCATCGACATTACTGTACCTTTAAATAGTAAAGACATTGAAAACAAATGAATGTATTAAGGAAAAAGGCCAAAAAGTCACACTATCTTGATATTTTATCTTAGATTATAACTCTGGACATTCTCTCAACCAACTTTATGAGATGTTTTCAAACAGTAGTGAAGGTGTTCCCATTTATGCTGGAAAATTATTAGCTGCTTTTCTTTCACAATCCAGTCCAACCAAACCATTAAAACTTGTTTGTAAAGAAACTGTAGTTGAGTTCATTCTCCTACTGAAAGATAAACTTTCAGCCAATTAAAACAGGTTCCCTAGTAGAATTTCCATGCTTTTTGCCCCATACATTTTTTATTTTCATTTTTTCAGGTTGTCCAAGTTCTTTTGATGAAAAGCTTTTCTTGTTTATGCATTAAGTATTTAGGGACCACCTTTTCTAGACAGTGTTTGGGTGGTCTGGTTTAACTTCCACATGCAGATAGTTAAACCAGCAATGCCGACTGAGACATCAAAACACTTGGATATTGTTTTCCTAATTTATGCCTTTGTTTTAAATCTGTAATGTCTTCTTTAGTCACTAAGAATCTAAGAAGTAAATGCATTTTAGATTCATAAAATAAATTTTGCTTATTCAGTCATGACGATTATGCATAAAATGTGGTAATTATTTTAAAGATTTACAGCTAGGGCAATCATGGATAAATTGTTAGTAAAAAGTTTTTCATCTGTATAAAATTATAGGCTTCCTATTTTTTTCCCGCCCACCAAAACAATTTTGACATTGAAATAATTCCTTTTGGGTTTCAGTGTGTACACAAACATGAATTACATTTCAATGTATGATTTGCAGTTCAGTCAAATAAGAGGGTTGGTTTAGATTTTGATGCATTTGCGAGGCACTGTATATGGTAATTCAGTCAATAAGCACAGAGAAAAGTTTTCCTGACTTTGTGGAAGAAATCACCTGATATATAGTTGTATATAATTCAGGGGTTAAAGCATTTAACTTCAGGGTTCAGACCGCATTTCCGTTGCCATGCTGACGGGAATGCCGATCCATCTTTTCTATTTGGTTTGAATTGGCCACTGTGATAAATGGGGTAACCGAGAGCCTCTTGGTAAATCTCTCTTTGAAAAGCTTAAACGACAACTCCGTCAATTAAATAAATCTCAGACGCCACTGCAGCAATCTTCCGCTACACCATCATCGTCAACAGCTCTAACAAATGACAAACTGTTTGAGAATAGACAACACACAGCCCTGCCAAAAACAAGTAAACAACTTGAGCAACCTATCATCAAGAGGCTTATTGATCGGTCTGAAGTAACTGCAACTATGCAGCAGATATTTCAAGGTTTCTTCAAGTCATATGGGTGGAGGCAGTCAAGGGAAAATGTACCTGTAAACTCACCTGAAATAAAAGAAAATGGCCAGCGAAATGAGAAGGGACACTATAGAAAGAGCATGGCCCACAATCGCCATGTAATACAAAATATACGCCATCTGAAATGAGAAAAATAATGTTAAGGTTAATCTCCAAGACTTTTTACCATGTTCTCTTGAGATTCACTTCACGGTTTTAATTTTTTTGGGTTCAAGAGACTCATAATGAGAACCAAATGTAAAAATAATAATAGCAATTTTGAAGTTCACCTTTTATATTCAAATTTATTCTTGCAATTCATTATTCAGTACTTTTATATTAAGCATAGTCCTAAAATAAAAAAAGGCTCTAAAATAGCTTATAAAAGCTTATAATAGCTTATAAAAGATCAAAACAGTTTATATACAGAATGTACACCAGTTAAAGAATTATATCAGATAAAAATGTATTTGTCTCTGAAACTGCAATTAAATTATTCATACAGGGTGTTTAAAGTGTATTATTATCACATTAATATTCTGTTTATAATCAGTTCTCACAAGATTAGAAAAGTATCAACCTGTATATTTTATAGTATATTTTTCAAGGTATTAAACATAACATGATAAAAGATTATATAATCATATTTTTCAAAAGTGTTATATTGAACAGCAAGTTTCAAGCAACAAGGATGAAACGTCAAAGTAGTAAGAAGGCTTAAAAGTAGCAAATCTCAATTTGAAAGTGCAAATCTCAATTTATTGTGCCTTTTTTATGAACCCCAGTCAATTTCATCTGGTCTGATAGAGTGAAGTACTTTATTTGAGCTTGTCTGAGCTGACATTTTCCCTGCTCTCCCTCTCTCTATCTCTCACAGTTTGTAAAGCCGCAGTTGTACAGCACTGAAACCATTATGTTATGAATAATTTTCAGAGCCACTGTCCTCCAGAAAAGCTGTTTAGTTAAACATAAACTGCCTTGTGTAGACCTTCCTCTTCACTTCCACTGAGTCTGAAAGAAACACTCAAATCCAACATGCCCTTCAGGAACAGTATGTCGACCAGTCTGCGCTGTATATATCATATTTATGCTTTTGTAGTATGTTTGTCCAGAAATGTTGATCTGCTAATCATTTGTCCTTTTTTTCTTGTGAAATATTTATATACGCATTTTAGAAACCAACAGCTAGTAAACTCTCTGCAATAGCAGATAATCTGCTAAACTGTAATTCAGCCCTACATGTTTAAACACATGGACTAAATCACAGAAAAGAAAGTCTTTATATTGAAAATCTTGCACTCTAACATGTGTAGGAGTTTATTTTCATAACATCTGACCATTTAATTCAGAGATATTCATAACACAATAAAATGTTCATTTAAGACAGGTGCAGAATTTAAAGATGACCTACCTTGAGCTTGTCCTTGGTGTGAGCAATGCAGAGGGTGTAGTTGGACCATGTCCTGTTTGTCTCAGGGTGCCTGAACCAGTTTCCTGTCTCATCACAATACTTGGTGACCTTTTCTAAATAAACAAGGATAAATATGTGAGAATAAGTCTATTTCAAAAGCCTTTATACTTTAGCTTTTAAAGTAACTCTGGTAACAGAAAGGCTTAGCGCTTTCAAATTGCTTTAGTACAGTTTTCAAAAACAAACCTGTGTTTTATATGCAAGTCAGGTTTTAACGTATCCTTCAAAAACCGTTTGAAAATTCTTTAAGAATTGCACTGGTGTAGACTAGTACAGTGGTTCTAAACTGGTTTTAAAGCCTAAATAACAAATGAATTAATTGTACCAGTAGAGTCAAAGTCAGGGAAGTAATTGGGACAGTTTTGAGATGTGTATGTTCCTGCTGGCGTGTCGTCCCAGCATAGCCAGCCATCCCATGTGCGGTTGCAGTATGGACCTAAAAGACAAGCACACAAACAATCAGGGCCAATTCCACAGTGCAATGGCTCTATGCACTTTGCGCTATGAGTTTCTGATGATTCAATCTAAAACCTCTTCTGAGGCTCTCTGTTTTCACACCTGATTTGTTATATGGCTGGTCTCTATTCATTTTCTCAAAGCATTTATATTGACCATCGATGATCTTCTTCCGCTCCTCCACTTTCTGAGTCACTACGGGGCTGACCTGACTCTCAGCGGTAGGATCAAGCTCCGTCTCCGTCTCTAAAAACCCATGAACTGGTAACGTCTGAAGAAGAAGGCATTCGTTTTGAGTATACACATAAAAGAAATGTCTGAATATAGGTTTTTACTGGATAATTAGGAGCCAAGATTTGAAGTGTCAATTGTAGCTGTCATTTCTTTTTCTTCTCGCTGAGAGTCTCTGCAGTCCATAAAACCATATTTAAAGAAGTTGTGAAATTTGGCCCTCCTGCTGAGGAGGGTCTGATAATTCCAGCCAATTTTGGGTCCTGTTAAATCCTCTCTAATCTTACCATTAACAGTTTGACTTCTGCTTGGAAAGACATTTACATCTCTGTTGAAAACACACATTAACTTTCAAAAGTTTGGGGTCAGGAGATTTTTTTGAAAGAAGTCTCTTATGCTCACCAAGATTGCATTTATTTGTTCAAATCAATTTTCTATTACAAAAAATGTAATTTGATGGAAAAGCTAAATTTTTAGCACCCGTTATTCTAGTCTTCAGTGTCACATCATTCTAATGTGGTTCTCAAGAAACATTTCTTACTATTATCAACAAGTTGTGCAGCTTAATATTTTTAAATTTAAATATTTCATTTAACACATCCAAAATGGAACGGACTAATAGGCAGATCCGTGGCTCTGCATATTTACATAATGCTCAAAATCATTGGCACAATGCGCTCTAAATATATCAATTTGGCGACAGCACTACCTATTCATTAAAAGTTATAAGCAGTTGTACTGTGTTGTATTTATTTCTGCTTAGGGCAAACCAGTTTTAGTGGTATGACCAAATAAATCTACAGCTCATTATAGTGTGCTATATTTTACCTTTATTTTCTCTGAGAATGTGAGACAGTGGGACCAGGTCTTATTGATGGATGAACTGTGTACCCAGTTGCCAGATTCATCACAGTATTTGGTTACTTTTTCTGCAGGGAAAAAGAAAGTTTAGTGTAATGACTTGAGCTTAAGTGTTCCAGTGATTAACTCCAGTCTTCGGCCTCTGGAATCAATCAATCTGTGTGTTAGAACAAACACACTGAGCTGAGTCTCAGGCAGAGAGATCTCTATCAGCGAACAGCGGAGAATATCAATATTTCAGCACCTCAGCAAACTCCTGTTATATCCTTGCTATGGTCGCTGCTTTATTTCATTTAGAATCAGAAATCAAATCATAAATGTTTGATATGAAACGTTGTCCTGTAGCTAAGATCCTTCCTTCCCCTTAGAACAACACTGCATGTCAGCTAATAAATTTTTGCGCTTCTAAATAAAAGCTCATATGAATGTTTCCAGACAGTCTGAGACAATGATTTTATCACCTTTGTTTCATTATAAGACTTCACGTATCGTCACAGTAGCTTTTGCTGCTCGTGCTTTGGAATTCCTTCTTTGGAGCAACATCTTGTGTTTCATAAGAGGCAGACATGTAACAGATGTCATGCCTGCTGTAGAATCTCAATGTTTTGCAGGGTCTGGAGCGCTTTGGTCTGGATTGACAATCCAGATGTGATCGTACAGAATCTTACCCAAGGGGTCAAAACTGGGGTAGTCTGGGCAGTTCTGTGAAGCAAAGGTTCCAGCAGGGGTTTCATCCCAACAGAGCAAGCCATCCCAGAATCTGCTGCAGAACGAACCTATAAAAGTTGAATAGATATCTTAAAGGGGTCATTTTATGAGGAATTAAATGATCCTTGATCTTTTGAGATACAAGAGTTCATTGTACAGTGAAAATGTACTGTAACATTCTGAACTCTAAATGGCCTTCCCAGTAAAACAAAACAAAACAAAACATTTATTGAAACAAAGCTGTTAAAATGGCCAAACCTTGTGCTGTTTCTGGCTGTGTGTAGCACCTGCCACTCTGCATGTCATTCTGAAGGATCCCAATGTTAAAAACTAGTATATTTTTGAGAGTGTCCTTGATTATTTTAGTCTGATCCTGTCACATTTCAACACACATTGTTTTGTGATCCGTAATGCTTTGTAAAGGGGCTGTTGTTGAAAGATGGGGTAGTTTAAACGTATTGGACTCAACCACAAACTCACAACTGTGAATAAGTCCAGGATAGGCCACAGCACATCCATATTTTAATTTCTAATGAACAGAAAGAGGGTGGTAAATGGTCATTAAAACAAGGCAGCAGCTATTTACACTAAATAAAAATAGCATATTTTTTTAGTGCTATGCTATTTGCACTAAGAGCAAATAGCGATATATTCTATTTACACTATGTAAAAATAGCAGTATTTTCTATGCAATAATATCAGATGGTATTTATACTACTTAGTGCAAGTGGCAGATATTTGCACCTCAGTATTGTAGTACATTATAAAGCAGTATGCAATAATAACATATTGGGTTTAAATTACCTTTTTTATTAAAATTATTAAATGGATGCTGCGTTGGTGCATTAAAGCCACCCATACACCTACCCCTAAACCTAACCGATCTACACTTTATTTTCCACTTTACGGTTATTTCCTTAATTTTATTGAAAATAAATGCCTTTCCGATCTGATATGTGGTGAGCGTGATTTGACCAAGTACAACATGTTCCTGGATCAACATCCTTGTTTATCCAGGAACATCATTCCAATCAACCAATCAGAATTGAGAGATACCTTTTCAGGAAATGTCAGTTTTAGGCTTACAATCAGGATTAGGTGCTTCTACACCCTTGTTAATCAGCTATCATCAGTGTCACATGATCCTTCAGAAATCATCCTAATATGCTGATTTGCTGCTTAAGGCACACTTCCTGAACATTTTGAGAAACATTCATGTTGAAAACTGGTGTGTTGCTTAATATTTTTGTGGAAATTACTATATATATTTTCAGGATTCTTTGATGAAATTTCAAAAGAACAGCATTTATGTCAAATAGAAAACTTTGCAACATTATAAATGTCTTAACTGTAACTTTTGATCCAGTTAATGCATCCTTGCTAAATATCAAATCATTAAATTCTTATTTTAAAACAAACAATAAATAAATAAATAAATATTACTGACCCTGCACTTTTACACAGCCTTTATACGGTGAAATATGCACTTTGTACTTTGAAGGTCTAAATGAAATTGTAACAAGGAAAACATATTTGATTTGATCTGATGGAGTACAATTACTCAGGTTGTTCACACTTGTTCTCTAATATGTGGATCAGCCTCTTTTCCCTCACTTTTCATAAACAGCAAGCATTACTGGCAGTAATAATGATGATGTGAGTATTGTGGATGTGAGGGCACGCACCGGATTCCTCTGCACCACTTTGGGGTTGTTGACCACAGTTATGAGGTTGACGAGGGTGAAGGCTGAGTTGAGCACATACGAGCAGAACAGGTTCTTGTGTAGAGTGATTCTCTGACAGCTCAGACTCCTGGGTGAAAGACAAAGAAATATTCATCACTGATCATTCATGACAGAAGCAGTTTTTGAAGAATAATTCAGTTTGGCAGGTCATTTCAGGACGGAAACAAACCATCTTTTGGATATTTTAGATACATAATCAATCATAAATCACTCGGCTTCTGATGGATTCGATTTTTCACAAGCCTCAAGCACTCAACTTTTCAGCATTTTCCAGATTTAATATAGATTTTGTCTGTTCCATCCTTAAATGCCTGTCTGCAAAGCCTGCATTAGATTATGACGGATTCATAAAACTAGGCAAACATGCAGAGCAAACTGTTACAATTAGTCTGACACGATCAGGAAGATCAATAAAATAAACTTCTGCTGCCTGTTTCTGACACTGGTATAATTCTGTCAGATATGCAGAGCGGCAGATGCTACACACAGCCAGAAACAGCACAAGGTTTGACTTGACTTTCTACACTTTTTGTTTCTGGTGTTTAGGAATAATCTATCCAATTTCCTCCATATGACCTCATCGGGAATTGGCAGGCATCACTGATGTGCAAATGTGGGTGGTCATGCTGTATGTTAATATCAGGAATCCAATGGTTTCAAATGAGACTGGTTTTAGCCCAGTTTCAGTAAATGGGTTTTTTGTACCATTTTTTGAGTTCTGAATGGTACAAAATGTTTTCATAGTACAATGAACTCTTTTATATCGAAAGATCAAGGAGAATTTGATTCATCATGATATGACCCATTTAATGAAGTAAACAGAACTAAAATTAAGCGTCACCTGAGGCCTGAGTATCCTGGCTTCATTTCAAATAATGTGATTGTCAGATGCTTGCCTGTTTTTACAATGTATTGCTTAGTGGTTGAAAATAAAAACTCAGTGTGTTTGCAATGTATTATATCAAAGCTGAATTTATGAAGCTCTATAAGATCAAGGTATAGTGATTAAATTAAATTAAATTAATGCATTTAGCAGATGCTTTTATCCAAAGCGACTTACAGTGCATTCAGGCTATACATTTTTTATCAGTATGTGTGTTCCCTGGGAATTGAACCCACAAACTTTGTGCTGCTAAGGTAATGCTCTACCACTGAGCCACAGGAACATTTATATAGGAACATAGTGATCAAACTGGACTTAAAACGTAAATTCTATATATAGCGAGAAAGAGAGGGGGGAGAGAATATAAATTATACAACCGCAACAAAAAATATAAAGCGATGTAAATTCTAAATTATGTAAAAGGCAATGTTGGGAAAAGAGAAATGTGATTTCTAAGTAAATGCTGTTTTGTTGTTGGTCAGGAGTTGTAAAATAAGGCAAATTTGGGAGTTCACACCTGCATCAGCTATCTCTGTCAACAAACACAGCTTCTGTTAGACAACAAGTTGATCTATATTTTGCTGTCAAAAGATAATGATAAAATATCCTTGCACAAATGGCATCACAATCACCCAATTAAGAAAGTCGTGCTACTCACATGATTTCCCTCAATTTGAGTGCAAAGCTGCTCCTGGAGCACTAGAGGGATGGGAGTGAAAGCTGAGCTCATTTTCCAAAGCTATTTCCCATATTCCCAACCAAAAATGTCTGGCATTATTCAGGGGGCATAAATTAAAGCTTAGTGCAGCTGTATGCTGACACGTACCTCTCCTAGCACCACATCTGGACCCAATAAGACAACATTAAGACTTTGACATCTCAGAAGATCAGACTGTAAATATCACCGTCGCACGTAAAAACAAGCGTTGCTATGTTACACTTCCAGAAAAGCAGTTAAACACAATTTGTTTTGCATGTGCATGATGCATTGTAAATGACAATAAAAAAATGTACAATTGCAAACTCATTTCCCATTAATCCTTAAAAAAATTTGATCAGACCCCTTAGGAAAAAACAGATGTTGGTTAAATAGTGATGGCTCTTTTTGTTTTTCCAGACATTATATATTATCTTTAATTTACATTTTCAGGGACATGAAACATTGTATGTATGCTGTAATCAATACTGCACAGCAAATTAAACTGCTAACATCAAAATATAATTAAATTAAACTTTAAAAATTTAATTGTTCTGTGGTTGTGTTTTTCTTAAAAAACAAAAGCAACACAACGTATTTAATGAGCACTAATGTTGAAATGAGGTCTTAATTAAAATATGCTTTTAACACTAAATATTAATCTCTCAACCTTTCAATGATTGCTTAGTGTACTGCAAAAAAATAAACTATGAGATTGTAAGTTTACTCGCTGGATTCAACTGTCATACTATGTGACATAAAACCCAAAGTTTATGTGCCATGATGTCTAATGCATAAGACTCTTTGGCTCCTACATTTAATTACCCATGAAATTAAGTTTACACTAGGGGATACAGACATATGGAAACCAAGTCAGCATGAAATGACACAAAAAACCTAACAAATAATGCTCGTCATTTGGCTCAGGGCTTAGTGCAGCTCTGCCAGACAAATGGACACCAAGGATTTACACTCAATAAAACACAATGATGAGAAACTATCGTTTTTTGCAATGCCAGAGCCAAAGGACCTTTTGCTTTCAGTCTGTACACAGTTCAAACAGTTGGCTCCTATTAAAAGTTCATTTGTTAATGTTAATGACAGAAGCATCTCTAAATCATTTAAACGTCCATAAAAAAATGCACGCTCCATGAAGTGGATTATAAATTCCTACAATGAAATGTTCTGTGATGTTTTTATTTCAAGCAGCAAATCAATAATCTTAATAACTTCAATTCGTGACTGGCAAAAATAAAAGTATACTTATGTGAGCAACATATTTAAGTCTCTCCATATTTTTAATTCAATTTTAAAAAAATGAACGGGAAAGAGCATTTTCATCGACATTACTGTACCTTTAAATAGTAAAGACATTGAAAACAAATGAATGTATTAAGGAAAAAGGCCAAAAAGTCACACTATCTTGATATTTTATCTTAGATTATAATAGTGATTAAATTAAATTAAATTAATGCATTTAGCAGATGCTTTTATCCAAAGCGACTTACAGTGCATTCAGGCTATACATTTTTTATCAGTATGTGTGTTCCCTGGGAATTGAACCCACAAACTTTGTGCTGCTAAGGTAATGCTCTACCACTGAGCCACAGGAACATTTATATAGGAACATAGTGATCAAACTGGACTTAAAACGTAAATTCTATATATAGCGAGAAAGAGAGGGGGGAGAGAATATAAATTATACAACCGCAACAAAAAATATAAAGCGATGTAAATTCTAAATTATGTAAAAGGCAATGTTGGGAAAAGAGAAATGTGATTTCTAAGTAAATGCTGTTTTGTTGTTGGTCAGGAGTTGTAAAATAAGGCAAATTTGGGAGTTCACACCTGCATCAGCTATCTCTGTCAACAAACACAGCTTCTGTTAGACAACAAGTTGATCTATATTTTGCTGTCAAAAGATAATGATAAAATATCCTTGCACAAATGGCATCACAATCACCCAATTAAGAAAGTCGTGCTACTCACATGATTTCCCTCAATTTGAGTGCAAAGCTGCTCCTGGAGCACTAGAGGGATGGGAGTGAAAGCTGAGCTCATTTTCCAAAGCTATTTCCCATATTCCCAACCAAAAATGTCTGGCATTATTCAGGGGGCATAAATTAAAGCTTAGTGCAGCTGTATGCTGACACGTACCTCTCCTAGCACCACATCTGGACCCAATAAGACAACATTAAGACTTTGACATCTCAGAAGATCAGACTGTAAATATCACCGTCGCACGTAAAAACAAGCGTTGCTATGTTACACTTCCAGAAAAGCAGTTAAACACAATTTGTTTTGCATGTGCATGATGCATTGTAAATGACAATAAAAAAATGTACAATTGCAAACTCATTTCCCATTAATCCTTAAAAAAATTTGATCAGACCCCTTAGGAAAAAACAGATGTTGGTTAAATAGTGATGGCTCTTTTTGTTTTTCCAGACATTATATATTATCTTTAATTTACATTTTCAGGGACATGAAACATTGTATGTATGCTGTAATCAATACTGCACAGCAAATTAAACTGCTAACATCAAAATATAATTAAATTAAACTTTAAAAATTTAATTGTTCTGTGGTTGTGTTTTTCTTAAAAAACAAAAGCAACACAACGTATTTAATGAGCACTAATGTTGAAATGAGGTCTTAATTAAAATATGCTTTTAACACTAAATATTAATCTCTCAACCTTTCAATGATTGCTTAGTGTACTGCAAAAAAATAAACTATGAGATTGTAAGTTTACTCGCTGGATTCAACTGTCATACTATGTGACATAAAACCCAAAGTTTATGTGCCATGATGTCTAATGCATAAGACTCTTTGGCTCCTACATTTAATTACCCATGAAATTAAGTTTACACTAGGGGATACAGACATATGGAAACCAAGTCAGCATGAAATGACACAAAAAACCTAACAAATAATGCTCGTCATTTGGCTCAGGGCTTAGTGCAGCTCTGCCAGACAAATGGACACCAAGGGTTTACACTCAATAAAACACAATGATGAGAAACTATCGTTTTTTGCAATGCCAGAGCCAAAGGACCTTTTGCTTTCAGTCTGTACACAGTTCAAACAGTTGGCTCCTATTAAAAGTTCATTTGTTAATGTTAATGACAGAAGCATCTCTAAATCATTTAAACGTCCATAAAAAAATGCACGCTCCATGAAGTGGATTATAAATTCCTACAATGAAATGTTCTGTGATGTTTTTATTTCAAGCAGCAAATCAATAATCTTAATAACTTCAATTCGTGACTGGCAAAAATAAAAGTATACTTATGTGAGCAACATATTTAAGTCTCTCCATATTTTTAATTCAATTTTAAAAAAATGAACGGGAAAGAGCATTTTCATCGACATTACTGTACCTTTAAATAGTAAAGACATTGAAAACAAATGAATGTATTAAGGAAAAAGGCCAAAAAGTCACACTATCTTGATATTTTATCTTAGATTATAACTCTGGACATTCTCTCAACCAACTTTATGAGATGTTTTCAAACAGTAGTGAAGGTGTTCCCATTTATGCTGGAAAATTATTAGCTGCTTTTCTTTCACAATCCAGTCCAACCAAACCATTAAAACTTGTTTGTAAAGAAACTGTAGTTGAGTTCATTCTCCTACTGAAAGATAAACTTTCAGCCAATTAAAACAGGTTCCCTAGTAGAATTTCCATGCTTTTTGCCCCATACATTTTTTATTTTCATTTTTTCAGGTTGTCCAAGTTCTTTTGATGAAAAGCTTTTCTTGTTTATGCATTAAGTATTTAGGGACCACCTTTTCTAGACAGTGTTTGGGTGGTCTGGTTTAACTTCCACATGCAGATAGTTAAACCAGCAATGCCGACTGAGACATCAAAACACTTGGATATTGTTTGTATGCTTTTCCTAATTTATGCCTTTGTTTACTAAATCTGTAACGTCTTCTGAATACTTTAGGCCACCAAGAATCTAAAAAGTCAGAAAATGAATGCTTTTTAGATTGATAAAATGAGTATTACTTATTAATCCATAAAATGTGGTACGTAATTTAAGGATTCACAGCTAGGGAAATCATGGATAACTTGTAAGTAAACTGTTTTTCATCTGTATTTTTTCTTCACCAAAACAATATGACATTGAAATTATTCCTTTTTGGTTTCAGTGCATATCCTAAAATGAATTACATTTGATTTGCAATTCAATCAAATAAGAGACGCTGTATATGGTAATCCAGTCAATATGCCCAGAAAAAAAAGGAAAGTTTTCCTGACTTTGTAGAAGGAATTGCCTGAACCTCGATTGTGGATAATTCAGAGGTTAACGCATTTAACTCAGGGTTCAGACTGCATTTCTGTGTGGCCATGCTGACGGGAATGCCGATCCATCTTTTCTATTTGGTTTGAATTGGCCGCTGTGATAAATGGGGTAACTGAGAGCCTCTTGGTAAATCTCTCTTTGAAAAGCTTAAACGTCGACTCCTTCAATTAAATAAATCTCAGACGCCACCGCAGCAATCTACCTCTACACCGTCATCGTCAACAGCTCTGACAAATGACAAACTGTTTGAGAGTAGACAACACAAAGCCCTGCCAAAACAAGTAAAGAACTGAGCAACCCATCATCAAGAGGTTTATTGATCGGTCGCTCTGAAGTACTGCAACTATGCAGCAGATATTTCAAGGCTTCTTCAAGTCATATGGGTGGAGACAGATAAGGGAAGATGTAAACTCACCTGAAATAAAAGAAAATGGCCAGCGAGATGAGAAGGGACACTATAGAAAGAGCATGACCCACAATCGCCATGTAATACAAAATATATGCCATCTGAAATGAGAAAAATAATGTTATAGTTAGACTTTTAACCATGTTCTCTTGGGATTCACTTAATTTTTTGGGTTCAATAGACTCATAATGAGACCCTAATGTAAAAATAATAATAGCAATTTTGAAATTCACCTTTTATATTCTTGCAATTCATTATTCAGTATTTTTATATTAAGAATAGTCCTAATATTAAAAAGGTTCCAAAATAGCATAAAGAGTTTATATACGGAACATACACCAGTTAAAGAATTCTATCATGAAATTCAATTGTGTTTGTAACCTCAATTAAATTATTCATACAGGGTGTTTAAAGTGTATTATCACATTAATATTCTGGGTATAATCAGTTCTCACAAGATTGGAAAAAGTATCAACCTTTTAAGTGTATTTTTCAAGGTATTAATCATAACATGATAAAAGAAAAAAGATTATATAAGCTTATCTTGATGTGTTATACTGAACAGCAAGTTTCAAGCAACAAGGATGAAATCTGAAAGTAGTAAGAAGGCTTAAAAGTAGCATATCTCCATTTGAAAGTGCATATCTCAATTTGTTGTACCTTTTTCATAAACTCCATGCAAATAGAGTGAAGTGCACAGACTTTATTTGAGCTTGTCTGAGCTGACATTTTCCCTGCTCTCCCTCTCTCAATCCCTCATAGTTTGTAAAGCAGCAGTTGGACGGCACTGAAACCATTATGTTATGAATAATTTTCAGAGCCACTGTCCTCCAGAAAAGCTGTTTAGTTCAACTGAAACTGCCTTGTGTAGACCTTCCGCTTCACTGCCACTGAGTCTAAAAGAAACACTCCAATCCAACATGCCCTTCAGGAACAGCTTTTAAATCATGTATGTATCATATTTATACTTTTGTGGTATGTTTGCCCAGAAATGTTGATCTGCTAATTATTTGTCCTGCCTAGTTGTAATTCAGCCCTACATGTTTAAACGCATGCTAAATCACAGGAAATAAAGTCTTTATGCACTCTAACATGTGTAGGAGTTTACTTTCATAACATCTGACCATTTAATTCAGAGATATTCATAAGACAATGTTAATTTAAGATAGGTGCATAATTTTAAGATGACCTACCTTGAGCTTGTCCTTGGTGTGAGCAATGCAGAGGGTGTAGTTGGACCATGTCCTGTTTGTCTCAGGGTGCCTAAACCAGTTTCCTGTCTCATCACAATACTTGGTGACCTTTTCTAAATAAACAAGGATAAATATGTGAGAATAAGTCTATTTCAAAAGCCTTTATACTTTAGCTTTTAAAGTAACTCTGGTAACAGAAAGGCTTAGCGCTTTCAAATTGCTTTAGTACAGTTTTCAAAAACAAACCTGTGTTTTATATGCAAGTCAGGTTTTAACGTATCCTTCAAAAACCGTTTGAAAATTCTTTAAGAATTGCACTGGTGTAGACTAGTACAGTGGTTCTAAACTGGTTTTAAAGCCTAAATAACAAATTAATTAATTGTACCAGTAGAGTCAAAGTCAGGGAAGTAATTGGGACAGTTTTGAGATGTGTATGTTCCTGCTGGCGTGTCGTCCCAGCATAGCCAGCCATCCCATGTGCGGTTGCAGTATGGACCTAAAAGACAAGCACACAAACAATCAGGGCCAATTCCACAGTGCAATGGCTCTATGCACTTTGCGCTATGAGTTTCTGATGATTCAATCTAAAACCTCTTCTGAGGCTCTCTGTTTTCACACCTGATTTGTTATATGGCTGGTCTCTGTTCATTTTCTCAAAGCATTTATATTGACCATCGATGATCTTCTTCCTCTCCTCCGCTTTCTGAGTCACTATGGGGCTGACCTGACTCTCAGCGGTAGGATCAAGCTCCGTCTCCGTCTCTAAAAACCCATGAACTGGTAACGTCTGAAGAAGAAGGCATTCGTTTTGAGTATACACATAAAAGAAATGTCTGAATATAGGTTTTTACTGGATAATTAGGAGCCAAGATTTGAAGTGTCAATTGTAGCTGTCATTTCTTTTTCTTCTCGCTGAGAGTCTCTGCAGTCCATAAAACCATATTTAAAGAAGTTGTGAAATTTGGCCCTCCTGCTGAGGAGGGTCTGATAATTCCAGCCAATTTTGGGTCCTGTTAAATCCTCTCTAATCTTACCATTAACAGTTGTGCCCAGTGGCTTGACTTCTGCTTGGAAAGACATTTACATCTCTGTTGAAAACACACATTAACTTTCAAAAGTTTGGGGTCAGGAGATTTTTTTGAAAGAAGTCTCTTATGCTCACCAAGATTGCATTTATTTGTTCAAATCAATTTTCTATTACAAAAAATGTAATTTGATGGAAAAGCTAAATTTTTAGCACCCGTTATTCTAGTCTTCAGTGTCACATCATTCTAATGTGGTTCTCAAGAAACATTTCTTACTATTATCAACAAGTTGTGCAGCTTAATATTTTTAAATTTAAATATTTCATTTAACACATCCAAAATGGAACGGACTAATAGGCAGATCCGTGGCTCTGCATATTTACATAATGCTCAAAATCATTGGCACAATGCGCTCTAAATATATCAATTTGGCGACAGCACTACCTATTCATTAAAAGTTATAAGCAGTTGTACTGTGTTGTATTTATTTCTGCTTAGGGCAAACCAGTTTTAGTGGTATGACCAAATAAATCTACAGCTCATTATAGTGTGCTATATTTTACCTTTATTTTCTCTGAGAATGTGAGACAGTGGGACCAGGTCTTATTGATGGATGAACTGTGTACCCAGTTGCCAGATTCATCACAGTATTTGGTTACTTTTTCTGCAGGGAAAAAGAAAGTTTAGTGTAATGACTTGAGCTTAAGTGTTCCAGTGATTAACTCCAGTCTTCGGCCTCTGGAATCAATCAATCTGTGTGTTAGAACAAACACACTGAGCTGAGTCTCAGGCAGAGAGATCTCTATCAGCGAACAGCGGAGAATATCAATATTTCAGCACCTCAGCAAACTCCTGTTATATCCTTGCTATGGTCGCTGCTTTATTTCATTTAGAATCAGAAATCAAATCATAAATGTTTGATATGAAACGTTGTCCTGTAGCTAAGATCCTTCCTTCCCCTTAGAACAACACTGCATGTCAGCTAATAAATTTTTGCGCTTCTAAATAAAAGCTCATATGAATGTTTCCAGACAGTCTGAGACAATGATTTTATCACCTTTGTTTCATTATAAGACTTCACGTATCGTCACAGTAGCTTTTGCTGCTCGTGCTTTGGAATTCCTTCTTTGGAGCAACATCTTGTGTTTCATAAGAGGCAGACATGTAACAGATGTCATGCCTGCTGTAGAATCTCAATGTTTTGCAGGGTCTGGAGCGCTTTGGTCTGGATTGACAATCCAGATGTGATCGTACAGAATCTTACCCAAGGGGTCAAAACTGGGGTAGTCTGGGCAGTTCTGTGAAGCAAAGGTTCCAGCAGGGGTTTCATCCCAACAGAGCAAGCCATCCCAGAATCTGCTGCAGAACGAACCTATAAAAGTTGAATAGATATCTTAAAGGGGTCATTTTATGAGGAATTAAATGATCCTTGATCTTTTGAGATACAAGAGTTCATTGTACAGTGAAAATGTACTGTAACATTCTGAACTCTAAATGGCCTTCCCAGTAAAACAAAACAAAACAAAACATTTATTGAAACAAAGCTGTTAAAATGGCCAAACCTTGTGCTGTTTCTGGCTGTGTGTAGCACCTGCCACTCTGCATGTCATTCTGAAGGATCCCAATGTTAAAAACTAGTATATTTTTGAGAGTGTCCTTGATTATTTTAGTCTGATCCTGTCACATTTCAACACACATTGTTTTGTGATCCGTAATGCTTTGTAAAGGGGCTGTTGTTGAAAGATGGGGTAGTTTAAACGTATTGGACTCAACCACAAACTCACAACTGTGAATAAGTCCAGGATAGGCCACAGCACATCCATATTTTAATTTCTAATGAACAGAAAGAGGGTGGTAAATGGTCATTAAAACAAGGCAGCAGCTATTTACACTAAATAAAAATAGCATATTTTTTTAGTGCTATGCTATTTGCACTAAGAGCAAATAGCGATATATTCTATTTACACTATGTAAAAATAGCAGTATTTTCTATGCAATAATATCAGATGGTATTTATACTACTTAGTGCAAGTGGCAGATATTTGCACCTCAGTATTGTAGTACATTATAAAGCAGTATGCAATAATAACATATTGGGTTTAAATTACCTTTTTTATTAAAATTATTAAATGGATGCTGCGTTGGTGCATTAAAGCCACCCATACACCTACCCCTAAACCTAACCGATCTACACTTTATTTTCCACTTTACGGTTATTTCCTTAATTTTATTGAAAATAAATGCCTTTCCGATCTGATATGTGGTGAGCGTGATTTGACCAAGTACAACATGTTCCTGGATCAACGATATGTGATGTGAAAAGGGAGAAGAAAGAGTTCAGCAAAAGGTGGATTCGAACTCGGGTCAATTGCATCATAAAAGTCACTGCTATGCACTGTACCTACGCCACTGGAGCCTTTGTTTAGCAGGCGTCTTTTGTAATGTTGACTAGCCCAATCACACGTTGGTGGGTGGAGTTAGTGTAAATATCTGGAAAAAGGGGGGTCATCTTATAATCAGGGTCGTCTTATATTTGGGCCAATACGGTATATTATATATATATGAGTCCTTCAAAGGTGTTATTTCTGCACCCAGCGGCACCAAAGAAAAAAAAATTGGTCCCACCCTATCTCACAACATTGGTTGAGTCAGTGGTGCATTGTGGGCCACTCAAACAGACTAATCCTGAAAGTGCCACAGCACCACAGTGTTTACACTGGTGAATCAACTAATGAATGTCTTAAAGTTGTCTCTGCACATTAAACTGAGATAGGAGAAAGTACTTTAACATCCAGAAAGCTTAACACACATCCGCTTTGAAGATAAGCCTTTATTGTTTCTCTGATCACCTTGTGATAGCTTTCAGCCATTTAGTGTTCCACTAACAGCCTTGGCACTTAACGAGGTTATGAAATTAGTAAAAGCACCATTGTCTGTCATTCAGATGAAAATGAATTGAAAATACAGTTACCTGTTTTATTATGGGATCCATCTCGGCTCAGAAGCTCCAGACATTTGTACTGAGACTCAGTCATGATCAGCCTCTCTCCCTCCATTGCCATCATGACAGGAGTAAGGGATAAGTCAGCGGTGGGCTCTGCTTTCGTCTCTGTTGTTCCAGCCTTTGTTGCATTCTGCAAAGAGAGATGAACTTGAGCACAGCAGCAGGGTTGGGCAAAATCCAGTATTTAAGAACCGGCTCCCTTTAAATTCATGAGCTTTCATTTGAAATGAATTGACATGAATGGCTATGACAGGAAAAGGAAGTTACGTAAATAATTACATAACTACTTTTTTTGAATACATATACTGTAAATACATATTTTTTGCTCAGTTATTCCCTTATATGTTCTGTAGAAAACAATTTTGCTAAAAAAAATAAATGTAATTAAATTAAATTAAATTATTAAAATGGGAAATGACTAATGGTACCCTGGTATATAAATTCATTTAAGAAGGTCATTTAATTAATTTGATTTAATTTGAAGGAAATGTATAAAAATTAAATACAAACTGCGGTCATACTTAACATACATAAACTATTAACTACGACTTTTGCCTCAATAAACTATGGGGTAGGATTAAGGAATCTAAAATATGGTCATGCAGAATAAGACATTAATATGTGCTTAATAAGTACTATTAAACAGCCAATATCCTAGTAAAATGCATGCTAGTAAGCAACTAGTTAATAGTGAGGATTGGTCCTTAAAATAAAGTGTTACCCAAACTGCTATAACTGACATTTCACTGACAACACATTTCCTATTTTCTGTTTCTGAGAATAATCCATATGCTGTGTGTATGCTAACATGTTTATGGGTATTTTACAATAAAATGTATAATACAAATCTACACTTATCAGAATTATATGAAATTCTTTGAATTTCAATAATTTCACTTCCCTAAATTCAAATGAAAATTTTAGACCCTGTTGCTACTGCAATTCAAATTCAATTCAAACTCAGGAATTAGACTGGGATTTAAAAGCCATTTCTGAATGGCACAAAACCTCAGCAGAAACACCATAAACACTCCACAGTACTTTTTCCCCTTGCGAACTCATATGCACACCTGCTCTATTCTGAGGACACCACATGGGCACTTGACATTTTAAAAGGTATGGTTTTGAAAACTTGAAAAATGGCCAGATACATTCCTCTGCCATACCATACCATATCAGTATAATGAAGATAAGACATTCTTCACAGCCATTGTAGCTTTTCTAGCAAAGACTTACAGGGATAAAGCTTCACCCACAAAGACAGGCTTGATATCAGAATTCAAAGCGCATCTCTAACCATTGTGTTGCTGGTATGAGTCATCTTATAGTTCAATGGGAAGTCAAAGAGCCAATTCAAAAGTACTTTACTTTTTTCCCCTTTTATACACCTCACAGTAATGAATTCTACATTCATTTATGACTGAAACTTTGATGTCTTTGTGCAAAGATCTTAACTTTGGCAGATCCTCTCAAACCCACCTTCTCATTAATACCATTAATTAAACAAATAGAGAAAATTCTGTGGCAGCTTCTTTAGTGCTGTGTGTCTGTCTTACCTGCACACAATATTGCATTTACAACACCAAATTCATCTGTGAGGTTTCTGATGTCCCATGTAGCAGTTTAGCAGCCGTACATATGATGTCACTCCAAACTTTGAAGTAAATGACGTCATACATACGACCACCAGGCCACCACCCAAGTCAGTCAGGAAAACCATTTGTCCTTCAATAGAAACTGAATGTCAAGAAAGGATAACATCATGTTTCAGAAACTTTACCTTTTTTAAGAAAAAAAGTATGGTACTTTAATTTAGTAAACGTTTTAGACTCGTATTTACACCCATTAAAACCAATCCACACCCTTGCTCTCAGTTTTTGTTGTTAAGTCTAGCTTTAATTAAATGCCATTTCCCATTATACTTTTAAATGTGATGTGCTATTCTGCAAGCTCATTACTATTCCACTAAGTTAGATTTATATGCAGTCATGGGAAAGTAGCTTCAAGGTCAAAAATAAACAGAGAGGACTTAGACATATTAATGTCCACATACAATTAGCAAAGTATGCTGTTGGCTTGTTTGTGACTACAGTTGCAGTGTTAACATAGTGTTAATGTACTACATGCAGAGGGCTTCATATGCTCCCATTTCATCATTCTGACACAGAGCCAGCTGCTCTGATCCCAGCATTGATGGAACACTGTGGAGCCACCATTTCATGCCTCAGGAGTTCTGTGGGTTTTCAGGTCACCTCCACTTGTAATTACCAAACTGGAGCAATTAGTGAGTAATGTATTTTTTCTACTGGATAGTTTTAGGCTGGGGGTGGGGTAATCAGGAGAGAAATCATCTAATGACAGTTTGCAGAGAAAAAAAAAACTAAAAACTTTAGTGGCCAGTAAAAGTTTTAGCGACTGCAAGTTCAAATGGGTTAAATGTCAAATTCTAAGTACAAGTATGTATTTTGGACTAATTTCACCACAAATGCATAAAACAAATATGTAACAAACATGAATAAACAATGAATGAAGTTACGGTCCACTCACCAAGATAAATGATGTCAAAAGCCATAGGGTCTCTTGCCAACCCATGCTCTCAGATACTGACTTTATCTGTGAACACAAAAAAGTATTACAAAAATTGTATTTAAAAATGCAACAGACTCTGAATTTGAAGTTGACATAAAAAAAATATTGAATTCAGAAAATGTTTTTTTTCTCTCTTTTTTTGAAAATAGGAATATCTTTGGGAAAAAATTGAAATAAATCAAAATTCTAAATTTTGTTCTTCATTTGGGAAGTGCTGGGAATATAAGACATCATGCAATTCTAGACTGAAAAAAAACTACTAGGCAATATTGATCAACTTCTAATGGTAAATATTCCACTTTAGTAGACAGTTCCTATCTCCTTGATTTAGTAGACACTTTCTATATCTTTGATTTGAATCACTTGAAACACACAATACATTAACTATCATTTTCACAGCTTGACTTCAACCATATTATGTTGTAGTTCCTTATAACATTACCAGCCATTGCTGAGTAATTCAGTTTTATATAATTGCCAGAGTCATTTTATCCACCCATTTGGCTCTTGGCGACTGTTAAGTTTGGACCCTGAGTATGATATATCAAAGCTAGACTCTGGCTGTTAACCTACAGCACTGACATGTCAAAATTGCTTTTGTTAGCCTTGAGTGTCATGTAACATTTTTATACAAAAATTGTAGGTCAAACAGTCTCTGCCAACATACCAACAATAATACGCTAACCCATGCTAACAGTTTACCATCTGTATTCTCTACTCTGTCAGCACTTTATCAACAGAAAATGCTATCGCAATAAAGCAGAGGGGTGAGGAAGAGAAAAACACATTAAAGATGGTTAATCATTTTGTTGTCACCGTAACATGTTGTGTGTTTTCAGTTCAGTACCTAAGATCGTAATTAGCATTCCCTTCCACCTCTTTTTCTCATGCAATTTAAAACACGCTTGCTCTCCTAACTACACTCTTAAAAATAAAGGTGCTTCACGATGCCATAGAAGAACCTTTTTGTCTAAATGGTTCCATAAAGAACCTTTAACATCTGAAGAACCTTTCTGTTTGGTTCTTTGTGGCGGAAGAAGGTTCTTCAGATTACAAAAAGGTAAGAAAGAGATGGTTCTTTAAAGAACCTTTGACTGAATGGTTCTTTGTGGAACCAAAAATGGTTCTTCTATGGCATCGCTTGAAGAACCTTTTGAAGCACCTTTATTTTTAAGAGTGTAGGTTTCAGAATGTTTGCTCTCAACACCTCTCTTCAGATCACAGTGGGGGTATTTCTCTGATAGACAGACAGACAGATACCAGGAATAGCTACTGAACCTCTGGATCCACTCAGCTGTGTTGACATTACCTCAGATTAACAGCAGCCAAGTCTCCACAGACTGCCCTGGTGTGCATGTAGTTTGAGTGCTGATTTATTGGGATGTGGAGTGTATGTACCGCCTCAGGCCTCTTACTATGTTCTGTCACAACACATATCACGTTCAGAGAAGATATTTGGCTCAAAAATTACTCTGTTTTTCTTTCCAACCTGGAGGATTCCAACAAAAAATGGGCCATCATTTTAAGAACAAAAAAGAACAGCCTGAATCGCTTCAACTCCTTATGCAACCAATTTTTGGGCATGCAGTTCAACAGACAAAATGCCTTTAAAAAGCAGAGATGCATCTGTTCAAGTGGAAGAAAAGTTGCCATATTTAGTTTTTAAAAAGCAGCACGCAGTCAATAGTACAGTTCTAATGTAGGGCTGTCAAAATTAACACACTAACATATTAAATTTACTGTTAACTTTACATTAAGGTTCCATTTGGTAACATTAGTTAACTGCATCAGTTCACATTAACAATGAAATGGTATATTATGCTAATTTCAAATACAATAATAAAATCTAAATTTGTCAGTTAATATTAATTTATGGACCTGTGCTATCATGAACTAACAATGAATAATTCTATTTTAGTAACTAACGTTAACAAAGATGGATAAATATTGTTACAAATTGTATTGCTTATTGTTAGTTAATGCAATAACTAATGGTAATGGGACCGTAAAGTGTTACTGTTTATCACAGTTAACACATTTATTCCGTTATACATTTCATTCTGTTCTAACTGTTGTTAGCATCATTTGTAGACACATTTTGTTTTTCTCATCTGGGACTTTTAATTGACTTCTGTTGTTTTTAATACTGGGCTAATGACCTTTCTGCCTTTTTACATTTTCATTAAAACTCTATTTAGCATGTCTATTAAGCTGTTTATTGCGTGGGGACTAACACTAACCCAAACATCAATGTAGGTGATTTAAGGTTTAACCATCCTTGTGGGGGCATTACATACACGCAGCCCACAAGTCCCTAGGGGAGCATGCATTTCTCAGAAAATGGGGTAAGACATTGTTTTCAGGTCATTTATTTATATACCGAACCCAGATGGGACATTTAACAAAACCCATTTGCGTTCTTTATAAGGTGAAATTCAGTGATGACTGAAGCTATTTCCTGTGTGTTTAATGCAGGTTTGTTCAGGGGCGGACTGGGGCTAACAAAGTGGCCCTGGAATTTTGCACAGAGCGGCCCACCACACCATAAACCCACCAGCTCATTAGAGCTATTTTTAACACCACTTACTAACATACAAATATAACACAATACAGAAATAAAAATGCTTTTTTTATTTTTTATTATTATCATTAACATTATTGAAAGACCGTCATACTTCTTTACATTATAATTTGTATTTCCTGGTGTGTATGGCAATTTGTAAATAATATTTTTACTCTTTTTATCTTTAATATTTTTTAATCTCTTTTACATAGAGGGACAGGCCTATCACTAAAGTTAAATGCCTAATATCAGTTTATATAACAATGCTCTGCTCTAGAAGTCTTGGAATGTAGTGCAGAATGTGGACTGTTTTTATTGTGACTTTCAATTGCTTGACAAGAGTTTTTATATGATGAAGAATTTTATGATGATGAAAAATACAGCAAAAACGGTGAAATATATAAAGTTACAATTTAGAATAGCTGTTTTCTATGCAAATATATAGTAAAAAAAACTAATTATTTCTGTGATCAAAGCAGAATTTTCAGCATCATTACTCCAGTCTTTCTTCAGAAATCATTCTAGTATTCTGATTTGCTCGAGAAATATTTCTGATTATTATCAATGTTGAAAACAGTTGTGCCGCTTCATATTTTTGTGGAAAATGTGATACATCACCATTCAGTCTGGAGTAAGATTTATAATAATAATAATAATTTTATTCAACAAGGTTGCGTAAAATTGATTTAAGTGACAGTAAATATATACTTATTACAAATTACAAATCATTCAACAAATTATCCTGAAAAAGTTAAAGTGTCAGTTTCCACAAAAAATATTAAGAAACAAAAATAGTTTTCAGTATTGATAATAATAAGAACCATAATTAATAACTGAGCATAAATAATAATTGAAAATAATTAAGCAACAAATCAACGTATTAGAATGATTTCTGAAGGATCATGTGACACTGAAGACTGGAGTAATGATGCTGAAAATTCAGCTTTGATCACAGAAAAAAAATTCCTTTAGGCTTAAAAATTAAACCATTAAAATATTACATTAAAATTTCTTTAACATAAAAATAGACCTTTCCTAATTACGGCACTTGAAAGCGAAAGTCTTCAGATTTACAATATTCTACATCGAGAATTATTGAAACATTTTCTTAGACACGTGAAATAACAGAAGAAATATAACAATATACAAACATTAACTGTCTTATCTTATGTCTGCTGAAAACGGCTACATTAATGTTTAGCTACACTGTGGCAAATAATGTAAGTGGCATTAAAATCTGAGAAAATCGAAAAGGCCAGTAGTTGCATCCCTGAAAATTAATGTCTGTCGTTTAACTTTTTTTTTGTAAACAGTTGGTAAATACTGCTGAATTGTCTTGTCACGTTTAGCTGTCTATGATCTTACCTCAGCTCGCATTCAAATGCCGCGCAGCTCTGCTTCTGTGAACAGTAAATCCCGCCTTCTTCGATTTGATTGGCTAAAACATTTTGACACTGACGAGCGCTTTTGAGCCGCTGCACTGAGCAATTAGAATGTTTGACTGCGCGGCCCATTCGTCTGGGCCGATGGAAGGATATATAGCCTAGGCTACGTACATTTAATTCATTATTTATATTTACGCAATGGGCCGGTGTTCTGACGATTTGTGCTACCCTGTCAGATTTTGCTACCTCCCATTAAAAACAGATGGTAGCATAATTCGATAGCGAAAAGTGCTACCTATCAGATTTTGCTTCCAGCATGATATTAATAAGGTGTGAGGATTTATTAACATGTACACCTACCCCAACCCTAAACCAACCCTTACAGTAGGATGAATACAGTGTTAGTAGCATAATCTGATAGGTAGCATTATTTGTCAGAACACCGGCCCACATTGTACAGCGGCTCACCTGTGCTCCAGATGGCCAGTCCGCCACTGGGTTTGTTTATGGGTGAGACAAGTAATCGCTGTCGCATAAATCTGTTTCCTTCCAGTGTCAATATATAGAAATGCAGATGTATTTCCACTTTGAGTGTCATCCACACAATCTGCAGAACCCAATAATTGCACATTATTTAGCTTAAAAAGAAACAAAATAGCCCTATTCTGATGTGACAAAACACCCAGAAAAAGGAATTATGAACACGTCTCCATCATTGAATACTGTCTAGTTGGCAAATAAAAAGAAGTGAAAATATAGAAAGATGGCGAGATAGAGCACACAGTTCTGTTCAGCATGCCAGATGGCTGTGGTCAGTGGCACAGGGGAAAGAGGAAGAAATCAGGCTTGCTTAACTGCCTAATCATTGTTTCCCAGAGTGCAGGAGGTTGGTTGTTTTTTAAATGCCTGCCAGTATCTGGATGGAACTTAGCCAGGACATGGAGGCTGAGAATGGATCCCAGTCTTTGGATTCAGCTCCATATAAGTTCTGGTTATTAGCCAAGGTAATTAATGTTCCTCCGTGAGGATGAATTAAAGCTTTTCTTCATTAAAACTCATCATGTTTGCCAATAGGC